GGTCCATTTGCTTGGAAAGCCTTTTCCCAGCCCTTTACTCGGATGTAGTGTCTGTCTTTGAAGTTAAGGTGTGTTTCTTGTATGCAGCAGATGGATGGGTTTAGCTCAGTCTTGTAGGGATTCTTCTCCCTGTGCCTCTCATTTTTCTGGAGGAGCACTGGGATGACAGGAGCACCCACATTGTGACATCATTGGTTCTGGGGCTTCAAACATCAATAACACATCCAAATGCCTTATCTCCTGAGCCATTTTCCTAGTCTTTCACCATATTTTTTGAGACGGTCTCTAGTCTGCCTGGATCTCATCAACTTGGCTACGTTACCTGGTCAATGATCTCTAGGGACTGTTTTCTCATCAGTGGGATTACAGATATGTGATGGTTTGTGTTTGTTTAAGACAGGGTCCACCTGCCTCTGCCTCCAAAGTGCTGGGATTAAAGTCATGCCCAGCTTTGTTGCTTTTTGAAACATGGATTCTAGGCATAACTCATGAATTTTCACTTGCAACTGAGATATTTCCTTAGTCCAGTCAGTGGTTCTCAACCTTGCTAATCATTCAACCATTTAATATCGCTCTTCATGTTGTTTTGACCCCAGCCATGAAATTATCTTCAGTGCTACTTCATAACTGTCATTTTGCTACTGTGTGTACTAGAATGTTGTCACCTGTGTTTTCGGATGGTCTTTGGTGACACCTGTAAATGGGCCACTTGCCCTCCCCCTCCCGAGGGTTCATGACCCACACATTGAGAACTACTGCTCTAGTTACTTGTGGGATTATGTATATTTTGTTACTTGTTTCTTGCCTTCTTTCCCCCCCCCCCTTTTCTGAGATAGTGTCTGATATGGCCTAGGTATTTTGTTGTTGCTTCTTTTTATTTTTTAAAACTGGTTTTGCCCATAATGGCCTTTGTTACATTTCTTAGTAATACAGCGTGTTACTTAACAAGGAATATCATTCTGAGAAGTGTTTTATTAGGTAATTTTTTTTCACTGTGCAATCAGAATAGTGTGTTCTAACACAAATCTAGGAGGAATAGTCTACTACTGAATACTTGTCCTTTCACCCCACCTAAACTGCGTAGTATATTACTGTACTGAGTACGGTAGATAGTTGTAGTACAATGGTATGCATTTGTTTACCTAAACATAGAAAAATGGCACTATGAAAAAACAAGTATGTCTTTGGGTATATGTTAGTGTAAGAGAAGCAAGGCCCCTGGTTGGATCCCTACCTAGCACTGCAAAGAAGAAAAGACAAAAAATAATGGAGCTCAAGGGACTGGGACTTTAATTGCAAAGGCCCAGGTTGTAAGTGTGTATTATTTATTAGACTTTTGTTTTGTTGTTGGGGTTTTTGTTGTTTTCCTTTTTTTATTAAAAGACAGGGTTTCTCTTTGAAAGATAAGACTGGCCTAGAACTCACAGAGATGGCTTATTTCTGCCTCCAGAGTTGTGGGATTATACAGATGCATACCACCACACCTGGCTTGTTAAAGGGAATGTACGTAGGTTGTTTTATTTTCAAAGGGAGCCTGAGAGATGGCTTAGAGGTTCAGAGCACTTGCTGCTCCTTCAGAGGACCTGCATTGGGTTCCCAGCACTAATGTGATGGCTCACAAATGTCTGTAACTTTAATTCAAGAGTATCTGATACCCTCTTCTGACCTTGATGGGAATTGGGCATATACATGGTACAAAATACAGTACATACACATACATGCAAGCAAAATACACAGAAAATAAAAATCTTAAGAAAAAAATCCTTTTTATTTTAAAAGATCTTTAATAGGACTGGTGATAGAATACATGCCTAGCATAAAGGAGGCCCTGGATTCACTTTCCAGCTCTCTATATAACTACATTTCAGTGCATTATAGCTTTGACTTTATTAAGGGGTATTATTTTGAGACAGGATCTCACTGTGTAGCGCGGGCTGAGTAGGAACTCAGGATCTTCCTGAGTCGGCCTCCCGAGGGCTAAAATTGTTTTTATTTATTTATTTATTTATTTATTTATTTATTTATTTTGGTTTTTTGAGACAGGGTTTCTCTGTGTAGCTTTGCGCCTTTCCTGGAACTCACTTGGTAGCCCAGGATGGCCTTGAACTCACAAAGATCCTCCTGGCTCTGCCTCCCCGAGTGCTGGGATTAAAGGCGTGTGCCACCACCACCCGGCTCTGAGGGCTGAAATTGTAAAGATGTGTTGCCATACCCAGCTAATTTTTAATATCTTGTTTATTTTCATTCATGTAGATTTGTAATAGCACTGAATTTAAAATACATACACAATAAGGGAATGGGAGTAAGATGGGGGGAGAAGGGGAAAGAGGGGGAACGGGTTGGTATGTATAAGGAAAGAATTTTTTTAAATAAAATATTTAAAAAAATACATAATGCAGTTGTATATGCCTTTAGGAAGGCTATTCTTGAGAAATTGGCAGCCTTACCAGAGATAGGTCTGTGGTGTTTTACTTGTATTTTAGTTTAGAAACAGATAACACATCATTAGTGCTATCCTGTTACTGAAAACCTGTGTTTTTTTATGTCTGTGCATCCAAACCTTATAAGGACCAGGTGGTGGTGGTGCACACCTTTAGTCTCAACACATCTGGCTGATCTCTCTGACTGAGTTCAAGGCCAGCCTGGTCTACACAGTGAGTTCTATCTAGGCTGGCCAGTGCTGACAGTTTTATAAAGTAAGGCCCAGTCTCGGGGGAGGGAGGAATGAAAAAAACTTTATATGAAACGTGTTGAAGCTGCTAAAAATCTTTGATATTGGTGGGTATGTTAAATAGAATACTTTGAATTTGAGATTTATTTTGACTCGGCCAAAGCATCAATATTTGCCCATATTTGTTCCTTTAACTTTGTAATTTTTTTAGAACCCGAGTTTGAATTTCAAGGAAGTAACTTATGAACTGGACCATCCTGGATTTCAAATTCGTGACAGCAAAGGACTTCACAATGTGGTTTATGGTATTCAGAGGGGCCTGGGCATGGACGTGTTTCCAGTGGATTTCATATATCGGCCTTGGAAACATGCAGAAGGCCAGGTAAGAGTTATGCTTAGGTATAGAACGAAGAAATAGTAATCACTTCTTTCATTGGGATTCAGTTCATCCATTGATTACAATATTATCCTTAACTTAGTTTGCACAGCTCGGGAAATTGTGGTTTGCCATCAGTTATATTATTTTCACACTTTTAGAACTTGAAGTAGCAAAGGTCTTCCAATTTGATAGTTTATCTCTAACACCATCTTATTGTCACTTTCCATCTTCTGAATTGTCTGGTTTCCAAAGGGTTAATAGTTTTTTTTTTTTTAAAGGACAGTTATCTTAACCCTCAAGGTTAGCCTCATGAAAGTGGCTCATCTTTTTGCAGCATTCCTAGTCGTTTATGGCAGTAAGGACTTTGTCTTCTTGTTGCAGCTCTCCTTCATCCAGCATTCCCTGATAAACCCAGAGGTCTTCTGCTTTGCTGACTATCCGTGTCATACTGTTGCCACTGACATTTTGAAAGCACCACCAGAGGATGACAATCGAGAAATTGCCACATGGTAAACACTCCTGCACCCTAGAAATACAAAGCTCATATTGAACAAGTAACACTGTTAATATATTTAAAGGAAACTTTATTTATTATGTATATAGTGTTCTGCCTACATGCCAGAGGAGGGCGCCAGATTTTACTGTAGATGGTCGTTAGTTGCCATGTGGGTACTGGGAACTGAACTCGGGACCTCTGGAAAATCAGCCAGTACTCTTAACCTCAGAGCCATCTCTCCAGCCTAGAATTTTTTTTTTTTTTAATGAGGTTGACTTAATAAAGGTTTTTATAAAGGATGTTGATTGGAAAAAAAAAAAATTCTTTTTTAGTTATATTGTCCCTAGTTAAATCTTTGTTTTTGTGAGGTCTGATATTTAGGTGTAGTCTAATTGGCTCAAAAAGTGTGTGTGTGTGTCTCTCTCTCTCTCTTTTTTTTTTAAAATAGCATTTCTTGGACAGACTGTAGCCACAGGCCAAAACACTTTAGTTGTATAAGTTCTCTCGACTTTTTTTTTTTTTTTTTTTTTTTGGGGGGGGGCCATTGATACATCATTTCATGTTACAGCTTCATCCTTTTCCTCAAGGACTAAATGTGGAGTTTTAGATACAATTATAGCCAAACAGGTTTTAACTAATTAGTGTTATGCACTTCACACTTGCAGCACATCAGAAGACAGCTACATAAACTTTGCATGTCATAGTAAGTGCTAAGACTCTATATTTTGGTAGAAATTTTATCATGTAAATTATGTCTTGTTTGGATTTATTAACTATTATTTTGTTCTCATCCCAGTCATAAAAATCTTGGTAATGAGGATCTGTGATTAGGCAAACCAGTTATTGATTCTTAATTTTAATTTCCTTTTAAATCTATAGACATAGAGCAGGTGTCCTTCCCTCCAACACAGAATATTCATGAGATGAAGGGCTTCACACATTCTGGGCAAGTGCTTTTCTGCCTTGCTGTGACCCCAGCAGCACGTGTGTAGATTTCAGAATTCATAGCAGCCATTTAGGAATAATCTCTAATTCCAGGATTGGGTAGGAATGTGATTTATGTAGTTTTATTGTGTAGCTGATATCGCTTAATTTGGAGTGAATTTGAAGGCTAGCGATATAGCCCAATGGTAAAGTGCTTATAAGGAAATGGTTTCAGTGCCCAGTGACTGAAGGAAAGCAGCATTTTTTTATATTTTCAATGATTGAGCATCTTTCTTCATTTATTCTTGTTAGGAAAAGCTTGGATTTGATTGAATCTCTGCTGAGGCTTGCAGAGGTTGGGCAGTATGAACAAGTGAAACAGCTCTTCAGCTTCCCCATCAAACACTGTCCAGACATGTTGGTATTGGCCTTACTTCAAATCAACACCTCCTGGCACACCTTACGCCATGAACTCATTTCTACTTTGATGCCAATTTTCCTTGGAAACCATCCTAACTCTGCCATTATTTTGCACTATGCATGGCATGGTCAGGTAAGACAACTAATTTGCTTATCAGTTCTCTATTGCATTTATTTACCTCCTTTAAAACCTCAGTGTTTCGAGGCTGGAGTGGTAGTTCAGCAGTTAAAGAGGACTTGCTCCTCTTGCAGAGGACCTGGGTTCAGTCCCAGCATCCCACGTGGCTGCTCACAACCATCCGTGACTCCAGTTCTAGGGGAGCCAGAAGTCCTCCTCTGACCTCTGGTGATACCAGGCGTGCACATGGTGCACAAGATGTGCCTGCAGGCAGACCGTTTATACCTTAATAAATAAATGAAAACACCACATAAGACAAATTAAAAAAAAACAATCTTCGTGTTCCAATAGACAAATTTATTGTCACCAGTTTTTATCTTTCAGGATCCTGTTGTCAATTCCCTAAAAGTGCCAGAGAGCAAGGATGTTAGATATTAAAATTCCGCATCCTTAAAACTTGCTACTTGCTGTGACACATTTTGACATTGATGAAGAGCTTACATATTTACTATGAATGCAAGAGATCCTGATGTTGTTTTCAAAAATAGATTAGGAAAGTCACACGAGTCTTTATTTTGTTGTGGAGTCAAGAGTCACCATGTATCGCAGACTGGACTGGAAATCACTATGTAGCCAAATGATAATTTTGAATTTAGGATCCCCAGGTTCTGTGGTGCTGGGGATTTAACCCAGGGCTTTGAGTGTGCTAAGGAAGCACTCTCGCAGATGAGCTCTTTCCTCACCCCAAAGATAGCTTTAAATGGTATTTTTTTAATCTTTTCTGAAGTAGAACTTTTTTTTTTTTGTTTTTTGAGGCATAGTCTCCTGTTTTTGGTGTGGTTGTGGGGGGTGTGTGTGCACGCCCATGCATTCAGAGGGTTAGGCTGTCCTGCCCTGCTTTGTTTTTCTCTTCCTTCAACCTAGAGCTGTGCTGGCAGCCAGCAAGCCCAGCAAACTTCCTGTTTCCACTTTCACATTGCATGGTTATAGTCATGCAAATGCTGGGGTCCGAATTTATGTACTCATGCTTGCAAAGCAAGCATTTACACCTTTTTCTCTATGCCTTCACCTCTGATTTTATAGACTCTATTTGACAAGTAAATCTCTTCTTATACCTTTACACCCTACCCCCCCCCCCCCAAAAAAAAAACAAAACAAAACAAAACAAAAAAAAACACGGCTGCCTGGCCTGGAATTCTTGAGTGCTAGGATTCCAAGAGTCTCCCTTAATGTTTTGTTTTTAGTTTTTTGATACAGGGTCTCTTGATGCATCAAATACAAACACTAAGCTCAGAGTTATCACAAACTCTTAACATACTTCATGCTGAGATTATAGGCACACACCAGTAGAGTTGGCTTATTGTGTCTTATATTTCATGTTTGAAAATGAATAAGCAGACTTACATGCTCATAGAAAAACATAATTTAGATTTGGGAAGATGTAAAAAATGTTACCATAATTACATAGTTCTTGAGCCTGAGCTTAGTCTCTGTAGTGATACTTTTTTTTCATAAGTAAAACATGGGAAGTTTGTAATAGTACTTAGCAAATGGCTGGCAGGGTTGTCACTTAACCTTCCCCTTCTCTCTTTCTTAGGGACAGTCTCCATCAATTCGCCAACTTATAATGCACGCAATGGCAGAATGGTACATGAGAGGGGAACAGTATGATCAGGCCAAATTGTCTCGAATACTTGACGTGGCCCAGGACTTGAAGGTGACTTCAGAGGAATACAGCCACAGTGGTTTACTAATGATTAATACATTTTTATGTAATATACATGTGTTAGGAATATTTTACATATAACTAGCTCATTTTAACTAAGATTTAGGATTTTGCTTTGTACATTGAAAGGTAACAGAATAGTTTTAGATAGGTAAACACACGTTTACTTTTGGTTGGTCTGACTCAGATAAAGGCTGGTTGGTTTGATTGATTTTTTTTTTTTTTTTTTAAAGTGGCGTTCAGAATGGAATATCAGGGACTTAGACATGGTAGGCAAACTACCACAGCTTTGTAATCAGCCTTGCAGGACTATTTTAAAGCAAGTGATGACTAAACTTCAGTCATGAGTAATCTGTGAGATAGAATTTTGTAGAAAGTAGGTTAATTTCAACTCTAGCAAATTTGTTATAATCTTCTGCTAGTTGACTAAGTATCACTTATCACTATGTTAATATAAGTTATAATAATTGGGAAACGGTCATTATACTTACTGTGCTTTTGATATTGTTAATTGAAAAAGAGACAAGTAGTTAAATTATGAAGGTGGTCATGACTTGACCTTTAAAATGGGGCCTTAATTCTAAATAGAGTACTTTAAAAAAAAAACTGATGAAGGAAATAGATGTAATAGACTTGTCTATTAAAAACAGTAAGTAGAAAGTAGTACACAGAAATGGTTATTACTTGACTTTGTAAATGTTCTGCCTTAGGCCTTGTCAATGCTGCTAAATGGCACTCCATTTGCCTTTGTTATTGACCTTGCTGCACTTGCTTCCCGGCGGGAATACCTCAAACTTGACAAGTGGCTAACAGATAAAATAAGAGAACATGGGGTAAGCAGTAAGCAGGAATTGCTCATTCTTAAAAATTTGGTTGCTAAAATGTCTAAAGACACATTTAAAAAAAAAACAAAAACAACAAAAGATGTTGAACCCAGGACCTGGCACATGCTAGGCCATTGCTTTACCTCTGAGCCACATCCCTGTCCCAAAAAGCCCCTTTTTAAGATGACATATAAAATCTTATTTAACTGTCGTTTGTTGTAGATGGTAGTTACATTATTTAGTTATTTCAGTTTGAAAGCATTTAAGACAAATGTAAAATACACTGAAGCATTTTCTTTTTTTTTTAAAGGAGCCTTTTATACAAGCTTGCATGACTTTTTTAAAGAGAAGGTGCCCTTCTATTTTGGGCGGACTTGCCCCAGAGAAAGATCAGCCCAAAAGTGCTCAACTTCCTGCTGAAACTCTAGCAACAATGTTGGCTTGTCTACAGGCTTGTGCAGGGTAAGAAGAATATACTTGGAAGTGACTGTATTGGGCCAGGCTTGGGGTGGTATATGCCTGTAACTCAGGAGGTAGATGGTGGATTATTATGAGTTTGAGGCCAGCTTAGTCTTCCTGATTGAATTCCTGACCTGCCAGGGCTTTGTGGAAAGATCCCGTGTAAGCTAGTGCAACCAATCAAAAAACTGTGTCTAATGACGTTGAGTTGGAGAAAGCGAGGTTTGAAGGAATGATGGGGTGCCATGGGCAGGTGGGTCTCTGAGTTCCTGGCCAGCCAGGGAGAATAGTGAGACCTGGTCTGGAAAGAAGTGGGGGTGGGGAGGAAGGAATAAAGGAAGAGGAATTGTTGGTTTTTAGGACCAAGTTACTATAGTATTAACAGTGTGTCTTAGCACCCCTGCTGGATGAAAAGACCATTTCTTTGGCTTGTCTTCTCATGGTGTGTGTTTTTATTTATGGTTTTTTGTTTTGTCTTGTTTCGAGACAGGGTTTCTCTGTGTAGTTTTGGTGCCTGTCCTGGATCTCACTCTGTAGCCCAGGCTGGCCTCGAACTCACAGAGATCCGCCTGGCTCTACCTCCCGAGTGCTGGGATTAAAGGCATGCGCCACCACCGCCCGGCTATTTATGGTTTCTTAATTCTGTCTTGAAATACATATATGGCTTATTGCTATGTCATACTGTCTTAATTAAACCGTCCTTTTAGTAAATGTTGACATTGAGAGTAGTAGGAATTAAGAACCTTCCAGTTTTTTGCCGGGCGGTGGTGGCGCACGCCTTTAATCCCAGCACTCGGGAGGCAGAGCCAGGCGGATCTCTGTGAGTTCAAGGCCAGCCTGGGCTACCAAGTGAGTTCCAGGAAAGGCGCAAAGCTACACAGAGAAACTCTGTCTCGAAAAACAAACAAACAAAAAAAGAACCTTCCAGTTTTCTTTTTGAAGTACCTTGAATTTCTATGTGACTTTCAAGGTCACTTGGTACATTTCTGCAGATTGCAAAGCAGCTCTGGGGTCACAGTTCATGTGTTTCATCTTCAGCTCATAATTAGGTCTTGCAGGCCTGTTTTAAAACAAATGATTGAGATTAGACCAACAGTAATGTATGAGGTAAAATTTTGTACAAAGTAGGTTCATCAATAAATTGCCATCCTAATAAAATTAAGACTTCCAGTCCTTGAACTGGGATGTCTTTGTATTTTAGTTCTTTGACTATTTTGTTCTGTGGTATTTTCGGTATACAAAACTTGTCTGTCTTTGCTGATTAAAACGATTTTATTAAAAATTATCTTGTACACATACATCTCGTTTGTGTGAGTGCACTTGTGTGCAAAGGGGTGGAGGTCAGAGGACAACTTTATGGAGTCAGTTCTTTCCTTCTACCATGTCAGTTCCAGGGATCAAACTCTGGACATCAGCTTGGCTTGGCAGCAGGTGCCATATCACTGGCCCCCTTGTTACATTTATTGCTGGGTATTTTATAAAAGATAACATCTATAAATGTAGGCAACTTTCTGATTTCCTTTTCCTTTTCTCTTTCTTTCTTTCCTTCTTTCC